TATTAGATAGGCGTTTGAAGGTCACATGAAGGTCACCTTCAATTTTTTAAATAGAACTTCCCATATTGTAGTATATCCTTTGAAAGGGCATAAAATAAGAAAAATTTTGGCGCAAGTTAGAGGTCGATACGTTAACCCGTTCGAGTGTTATTTAGGATCAAAGTTCGAAAAAGCCAATTTTTGAACCTAAATAACTTTTAAATGGGTCAAAGTATCGACTTCTAACTTGCGCCACAATTTTTCTTATTTTATGCCCTTTCAAACAATATACTACAATATGGAAGATTTTATTTAAAAAATTGAAGGTGACCTTTACGTGACCTTCAAGCAACTATTCAAGGTCAAACTAATGACACCATCTTATGTGCCCCTCGAAATCGTACAACTTTTGTCTGAAATATTTTTGCTGAAAATGCTTCGTTGAAGAATTATCGTGCGTTTTTTTAAATAGGACACACTGTATATACATACATATACATACACACACACACACACACACACACACACACACACACACACACACAGAAATATAAAACAATATATATATACATACATATACATACACACACACACACACACACACACACATATATATATAATATTATATATATATATATATATATACCATATATTATAAAGATAATTAAAAAAAAATACTTTATAATTACCTCATAATTTTAATCTTTATTTAAACTAAATGGGAAGCTATTTCTTTTATATGTATCGCAGATTGGATTAGTTGATCTTTTAACATCTATTGGTGTAGTCCCCGATTTTATAATCGGTCACTCTATTGGTGAACTAATCTGTGGATATGCCGATGGATGTTTAACGGCCGAAGAAACGGTTCTGTCGGCATATTTCATCGGTTTAGCCCTTCACGAGTCGAAAATAATTAATGGCTCCATGGCTGAAATTAATCTGGACCTTGAAACCTTAAAAGTTATGTGTCCTTCGGATATCGATATAGCTTGTTACAATAGTTCTTCTAATTTTATTGTAAGCGGACCAACGAATTCTATAAAAACATTCTTCACTAAATTGCAGGTATATATTTAATGCTTATATAAACAATATAATCTTTTTTTTATCTAGTTTCTTTATTTGTTTTGTTAAAACAAGCAATTAATAATATTTATGATTTTATTCATTCTTTTAGGCAAATAGTATACCTATAAAAGAAATTTCTTGTGGTTATATACCTTTTCATAGTCGTTACATCAAACCTGCTGTAGCTAAGTCTGAAGAATACTTGAACCGAACATTACCACAAAAAAAGTTTCACAGCTCAAAGTGGCTGACAACATCCTCTTACGAGTACTCCAATACTATACCTTTATGTTCAAAATATTATACAAATCACTTGTTGTCTCCGGTGTTATTCGCAAAGATGATACGTTCAGTTCCAAAAGATACAGTGACGATTGAAATATCTCCTCAGAATATTCTTCAACACATTTTAAACAATTATTTATACTCTACAGTAACAAACGTAGCGCTATATGAACGAACCGGGGATCATAATAATGAGATATTTTTAGAATCAATCGGAAAACTTTATAACGCAGGTTTGCAGCCACAGATTGCAAATCTTTATCCGACAGTGGAATTTCCTGTAAGCCGCGGTACCCCAATGATTTCTCCTCTCATAAGGTATGCATATTTTTCGTTTAGGCACAAATGGACAAATTATCGAAAAACAAACGCTTTCATAAATTTTGAAATATTTAGGTGAAATAGTCAGAAGAGAACATGTTTAATATAATAGCGAATTAGAACTTTGAACTCTTTTTCGAACTTGGTTAGTTTTATCATCTAATTTCAAAATCACATTTCCGTATTTTGAAGACATTCTATCACCTTACTTGTCTCAAAGATAAATGTATTCTTATACATATGTTAATCCTTTTATGCCTATTAGAAAGAGCAGATAACAGTGATATTTTAGAATCTGTGCTTCAATTTTACATCAAATCTTGAATTAAGTAATTTCCACAATTAATTCGTTTACACGAAGATTATATAATAATTTCTAATGACGTTTGCAGATGGAATCATTTAGAAGATTTGTTTGTAATGCGAGTTCGTCAAAAAGAAATAATTGACAAAAAGGAAATAGTTGTCAGTATTAGTACAATTGATGAAGATTTTGCGTATTTAACAGGCCATGTCGTTAATGAAAAAAATTTATTTCCTGCTATGGGATATCTTTTTTATATCTGGGAAATGATTGCATCGTTAAAAAACCAAGAATATATCAATACACCAATTGTATTTGAAGACGTTAATTTTATTCGTGCTACAGTACTATCACAACAAAATGAGATTGAATTAACTCTCTCGATCCAAGAAGGTAATATTATTACGTAAACAACTAATTTTCTAGCGTGAGTTTTTTATTTTTTAATTAGATTTTAAAACTTATGCTACTTTTATGGCGCAATATATACTATAATTAAAATGTAAAAAATATGCAGAGAAAATATATGAGAATAACTAATCTTAACGCGGAATCTTCTTTTTTTTCACAAGTCAACTGCTTTTGTAAGGTCCAGCTCAATATTAACATATTTATATTAATTTTGATTTCTTATAAAATTATATTACGTTTAATGAATTTACACCTATATCTAGGTAGCAATAGGTTTGATATAATCGAAGGAGATAATGCTATTGTTACTGGAACAGTACGAATTCCAACTAATATTGAAAATGAAAAAATATCAGCTAATTTTGCTGAATGTATCGATAGTGAAGAAGAAATGAGTACAAAAGACATCTACAAGGAATTAAGACTTCGCGGTTATCAATATGCTGGCGCATTTCGTGGATTAAAAAGCGCATCGGTTACTGGATCAAACGGCCATATCGCATGGACATGTAATTGGGTGGCATTTATGGACAGTATGTTACAGATGATGATTTTAGGACAGAATTCAAGAAGCCTTTATGTTCCAATAAGAATTCGCAAACTGACTATCGATCCGAAATATCACACACAGATAATTCAGGATTATCCAATTGGAGATAGACGTAAGTAAAATAAGTGATACAATGCGGCCAATTGCCTGACAAATGAATTTCATTCGCTATGTTGCAGAATTCTCTGTTCGTCGTTACAAGTCTTTAGACGCTATAATATCTGGAGGAATAGAAATTTGTGGCATTGTGGCTACACCTATATCTCGCCGGCAAAAAGTAGTTAATACCGTTCTTGAAGAATACAAATTTGTTGCTCATCGTGATTTAGGTACTATATCGTTGCAAGATGCAATAAGAATGTCGATGCACATTGCACTCGAATGTTGCAATATGATAAATATTAAAATTATCGAATTTGTCGATGATAGTGACAAAGTGATACCAGAAGATTTAAATTCTCCACTTATTAGTGAAATCTTTAATAATTTACCGCAAATTCGACACCACACTAAACTCGTGACGACCCACGAGAAATTCCCAAATATTTCTTTGCCCGACAACGTTTCTACAACGGAAATTACGAAGTTGTCGAAGGACGAGAATTGTTTGATAGTCCTTGGTTTTGATATTTTGACAAAAAATAGCAAAAAATTATATAAACAGTTGTTGTCTCTGTTAATGCCACAGGGTTTTCTACTGACTTTGGAGGAATCTGGTGCGGTCTATGATTATTCATGCCTGAAAACGTATGAGTTAGATATCATATTGGAAAAACAAATAAATGACAAGAAGCTTTTGTTATTAAGAAAAACGCGAAATATTGCGAAAAACCAGTGGATTGTACATGTGAACAATTACGAATTTTTATGGGTAAATGAACTAAAATCAATCATGAATGTAGAAAACGAGACTAGTGTAGATACGGAGATAATTCTCGTTTCGGAAGGAGACTTCGAATGCGGGCTACTCGGTTTTATTAAATGCTTGCGAAAAGAACCAGGCGGCGAAATAATTAGAAGCGTATTTATTCAAGATGACAAAGCGCCTACATTTTCTTTGCAAGAACCATTGTACGCGAAGCAGCTACAGTTGGATTTACCCATCAACGTTATACGTTCTGGTAACGTTTGGGGATCATACAGCCATTTACCATTACCATCGTTGGAATCAAAACTTGTTCAGAGCGCTTACGTTACGCAGATGGTATGTTATTAAGGTGTTCTATTACATTTTATTATAAATAATAATAATTAATGTTTACTTATAACAGGTACAAGGAGATCTGAGTACTCTCTGCTGGGCACAGAGCAGAATGTCTCGCATTAACCGTGAAAACCTCGTTGATGTAATTTATACGTCTGTTAATTTTAAAGATATCATGATAGCTACTGGTAGACTCAACCCTGAAACGTTTGAACGCGGTAACGACTGTTTTATTGGCTTGGAATTTGTTGGTTTCAATACGCATAAGCAGAGGATAATGGGATTATGTTCACACGGGTAAGATATAGAATATTAATACTTATAGGTATACGACAGAAAGAACTCTTTACAATTGTCAGGATTAATTTCTATTTTATATGAGTACCGTTAATTAGTATTAATAACGTTTTAATTTAAGTAATATTAAAAATAAGTCGTTTTATTTCGACCCAACTGGCCAATTGATACAGGAATTGCACGACGTTTCGACCGAATTCCGGTTCTTATCGAGTGCTTTTGTTCGAGTTACACCGATCCGCATAACAAAATTAATTGCATCGTTGATGTGGTGTCCTGATACATCAAGATAAACGCAAAGCTAAACACAAGGGAAAGAATTTATACATTTAACAATAGAAAAACTCTACAAAATTATTA